GGTGGTGGTGGTGGTGGTGGTGGTTGAGTGCATGCCTTTAATGTCAACACTCAGGAGGGAGAGGCAGGTGAATATCTGAGTTTGAGCCTAGCCTGGTCTGAGAGTAAATTTAAGGACAGCCTGAGATACATCAAGAAACACTGTCTAAAAATTAAAAAACAAAAAAAATATAAAGACAGACAGACAGCAAATGCCTTCGAAACAGATGTGCCCACAGGCCAATATAATGCAGGCAATCCTTCAGGTGAGGCTCGCTCTACCCAGTGTGTGAAGCTGACAATCAACCGTTACAGGGCCTGGAGAGATGGCTCAGCACTTAAGAGCACTTTCTGCTCTTGCTGAGGACCAGAGGTCAATTCTCTGCACTCACATGGTGGCCTGTGAACAATGTCTGCAGGCCCAATGCTCTCTGGCCTCTGCGTTTGACCATCTGTCATGTACGCTGTAACTTAGCATACTAGCACCTCTTTTTCCCCAGTACTCACCTCTTCCCTGGATACAAACCATGTAGGGTGAGTTGAGTTGGTTTTCTGGATACTGAAGAGTCCTCTATGGTTCCAGCAGGACTCTGGACAGCCATTACCAGCTACTACCAGTCACTGCGCCTGTGCAGGCGACTCCAGCTGCACCTGTTGCCCACCAGGCCTGATCTTGAGAGGGGTGAGACCTGAGTTTGAGTCATGGGTGGGGATGAGGTTGGGGGTGAAAAGGTTGAAGACTTGGTAGCTGTTCACTAAAGGAAAGAGAAAACCACGTAGCCTTTAACCAATGAGACATTTCATTTCTAAATCCTGTTGATCAGGGAACCAGAGATTAACCCGGCTTCACCTGTGGGTTTAGGTGATAAAGAAAGGTACAGAAGAGGATGTTCTCTCTTTTGTTTCATGTAAAAAGTTAGGCTGCTGTGTGCTTTAATGGGACACTTATCCTGTGGTGTGTGTTTAGGCACAGAGAAGACTGGAAGGTCACCGGGCTGTAATCCTGCCTTCCCATCATTTACAGTCAGTCCAGTTTGGATTCCTATATCCCACTTCCTATGTGAGTTCACAGAAGAAGCACTTTGAGTCCAATACTTTTGGGGACAAGATGTTCCTTTAGTGGCCCGGTGACACTGCTTCTTTCTCTCTTCTCTCCCCTCCTTCCTCTCTGTCTTCCCTTTCCTTCTCTCTTCACCCCTTCCCTCTGTTGTTTGTTTTGTGTTTACTCTTTTCCTCTTTTGTCACTTTGCTCTTTTAGGGACCCACTAGTCGGCTCCCACATAAATAATACACATGGAGACTTATTACTTTCAAACACCTGGTCTTAGCTTGACTTATTTCTAGCCAGCTTTCCTTAATTTAAATTATCCCATCTGCCTTATGCCTCTGGGCTTTTTCCTTTGCCACTTCTGTATATATTACTTTCACACTTAATCTGTGGCTAACATGTGGCTGGGTGGCTCAGTGGCTGGCCCCTAGCATCCTCTTCTCCTTGTTCTCTTGCTCCTTCTCCTTCTTCTTCCCTTCCT